CTTTCTTTCTTTCTTTCTTTCTTTCTTTCTTTCTTTCTTTCTTTCTTTCTTTCTTTCTTTTTGAGACACAGTCTAATATGCCTCCTAGGCTGACTGGCAAATCTCAATTCTCCCACATAGCTTCCTGATTGCAGGGGTGTACATGCACACAGCTCAGGCCTTTACTCTTTTTAGCTTTTCTTTGTTTTGTGCCTGTGAGTCTGCAGACGCTCAGGAAATGTGGATGTATTAGTGGATGAAGACACGAGCCATCCGAGTGAGTGAATGGCGGGGAGGTAAATGCTACCGTAAGAAAGTTCTCTCTCCTGTGGTACAGTGTGGGGGCTAATGAGACCTGCCCCACCGACAGTGAGTGAGGGTGGCCTAGGCTCATCTAGCTGCATTTCAGGATCCTTGCTTTCAGCTAGCCTCCGTGGCATTGATAGGCTGATAACATTGTTTGACTTTGGGGTCTTATCTTGGTTTTGCCTTCATTATTTCTTTATTATTTAGTTGTAGTACTGAAGACTTGAACCCAGGATCTCTCCCGTGCTAGGCAAGCGTTCTACCACTGAGCTCTAATCCCAGCCCTTAATTTATTTTTATTTTTTTCAATTTTAAAACCTGGTCAATAGGTTGTGCTGACTTTGAACTTACTGTAGTTCCAGGCTAGTCTTGAACTTGGGATCCTTCTGCCCCTCAACCTTCTGAGTAACGAGCCTGGTTTTTGTCATATCTTAGCTGTGACTCTGTTTGAATTTCAGCTTCTAAAACTGCCTGACCTTGACTTCCCAAGACTTGGGTTCTGTTTCATAGGTTGCTGTGTCCGAACCTGGCCCGCGCTCGGGGGAAGGTGGAGGGTGTCTTCTTCCTTTTCACACCACAGCGCTAGGAGCAGCCTGCTTCAAACCCCAGAAGAGAGCGCCATTCCTCATCACCTTGATGGCTTCCTTCTGCTGAAGGCATCAATGTTTGCTCAGTGGTGTAAGTCTTAAATAAGCATCTACGTGACGTGCTGCAGATGATGAAAGCTGTCTACAGAAAGATCATCTCGCGTGGTCATGTTTCCATCATCATCTGGGGCCTCCGCAGCTCCTAAATGATGACATTCGTCCTCATACCACGTAAAATGACTAGCTCCTCCGGGTAGGTTTATTTTTAATAGTGTATGTCAGCAGCAAAGAGCTGGGAAGACCCCAGAGGAAAAGCCCCTGCTCTGGCTCTCACGCTTACTGAAGTGATGATATGAATACATTTAATATCTATATTAAAAACCTTTTAGGCGCCCTGGTGATATTGAATTGGATAGCTAGAAGCATGCGGGAAAAATCCAGGGCTGTTTATAGGCACTCAGTGGCGTGTACTGTACAGGCTCTTGATGTTGTTCACAGTCAAACTTGGGCTTCAAAAATCTCTGACAGACATTTGACTCCTGCTGGGAAATGGACGGAAACACAAGTCCAGTGGGTCAGATCCCTTCCTCCCACGCGGCTTTTCTATAAGAAGGTTGGTAAGTTTGCAGCGCTGTTAAAATGGTTACTCACTCACATTCTGCAAGGGTGCTGTTGCCTCTGAGGCTGGACTTAATTTGCATGTCTGCAATATACTTTGTTTCTCCTAAAGATGGTCAAGGATTCTCAGCAGTGAAAATACTCCTCCCTCACCCTTTTGTTTTGAGACAGAGTTTCACAATGTAGCCTTGACTAACCTGGAATCTACTATGTAGATGAGGTTTGTCAGCCCAGGCCTCTCCAGTGCACCACTCGACTAAGCAACAAAAATCCTTAATTTTTTTTCTTCTTTATAGCCCAGGCTGGCCCCAAACTCTCATGCTGCTGTTTCAGCATCTTTAGTGCTGGGATGATAGGCTTGAGCCCCTGCCTAACAGACCACACACAGAGTGGTGGATGAACATTGTTTGGGGTTGGTCCAGAGGAGATGGACCTGCATTGCTCTCCCATCCCATCTGCCATGGTCTCTAGACTGTCCTTGCGGCCTGTCTTTCAGGCATTCGTTGAAAGGGTGTCAGGCTGGCCCAGAAAGGAAGAAGTACAGGGCTGCGGGGGTGGAGTGGGGGGTGCTGCTTGCCATAGTTCCTCTCTGCCTGCAGCTGAGATACTCTTTCTCCCTCTATGGCCCCGACACTGGCTTTTCAGCTTTAACCTAAGGTAAAGCAAATTCTGGCTCTAAGGAGGGCACACTAGCAGGCTATGGCAGACGATGTGTAATGGTCTGCTCTGTCCCTTTAAGAGACAAGCCATGCCCACTCCCTCCCTGGGCTGCTGAGGCAAGCTGACCTCCAGGTCCAGGAAGGTGACCTCTTCCTTTCTATCTCCCTCTTGAAGAGGCAGCTTCTGTCTCTCCCTTCTCCCCACTTCTCCCCTTCCCCCTCTCTGTTTCTCTCTCTCTCTGTATTCTTCTTCCCTTCTCCCCTTTCCCCTCCATAACCCACTAAATAAATATCCAACTTCACTCGGCATGGCGTGCCTATCCCTCTGTCTCTCACCTGCCATGTTGCTCCCTACCCAGGACCAGCCGCCTTCAGAGACCTGAGGTGTGGTCTTGTGGTGTGCCCCTCCATCTATCTCTAATCATGGGACTGACTGCCCTGTCGAGGTCTCTCATCCACCACGTGGCTCTCTGCCTGGGACTCGCTGCCCCTCGTGGCCCACTGCAGCCACTTGGGGAACTGTCTGGGATTGGCTGCTCTCAAGACCCACAGCCTGCTGCCTGCTGCCACTTTGGGGACCTGCGGCATGGTCTCGGGACCACTGCCCGCTGCAGCCACTCGGGAATCTGCAGCATTTTACTTTTACCATAACACCATGGCCATCTCATCTGTGATTTTGTCCCATTTGGATTCTGTTGCTCATTGTCAACACCATCCAAACCTAAGAAATTCCAGAAACAACCAAACTATAGTTTATCCTTGAAAATTCAAGTCAATTAATAAACTTTAAATCATGGGCTATTCTCTGTAGGGTGAGGAGTTCTCACAGTATTGGACTCAGTTCCTCTGGGGCTTATGAGTCATGCTCTTTGCCATATTTTCTGCTCTGTTCACATCATCTACCCACAGGCCCCTAGAAGCCATCCCACAAAGGGGGAAAGGATCTTGTGCCCATAACCTAAGCCCTAGACAGATCTTAGGAGGTGGCCAGTGTCTGCATAGGAATGACTTGATCCAGTGAAGTTCTGTATTCCCTCTCCGGCTTTGATGGCAGAGGGAACCTCATGAGAAGGCAGGCACAGTCTTTCCTACCCTCTATAAGGATTTTGTTTTTATTTACTGTTTTAAAAGCATCATTTTATTTATATGGGTGGGGGGGACACATATATGCTCATGGAGGTCAGAGAACAACCTGTGAAATTGGTTTCCTTTTTCCACTTTTAGCTGAGTTCTGGGAATTGAACTTGGGTCCTCAGTCTTTTGCCACAAGAACTCTTACCTGTTCACCATCTTACCAGGCATATGTTATTTACTTTAATTTTAGCATTTTTCAGACAGGCGCTGCTGTAAGCCAGGTGATCTGGAACTCCCTATATAGCTGAGGCTGGTCTTGAACTTTTGCTTCTTCTGCCTCCACCTCCTGCATAGTGGAGCTGACAGGTCTTTGCCACTGAGCTTGCTTTACAGGATTTTCAGTGTAGCAGACTCTGCCCACCGACGACAGCTCTCATCCATGGGCAGAGCTACCTGCCCCTTTCTATGGGGGGACTGGCTAGACCCGAAGACTAAAGGGCTCGCCCAAGACAATAGGCCAGGAAACAGAAGGCAGGGGGGTCTTGAATGAGGCTTCTGGGTGTGTGTGGCAGAATTTGGGGTTTCCTCCACTCTCTTTTGCATTCGAGTAGAAAAACCATGCGCATTTGGCGAGATTGCTGTTGGGAGTTTGTAAAAGAGGTAAGGAAAAGAAATCCAAGAAGAGGTCTGGTCTTCAGCAGCTGGCTGACCTGACCAGAAAAGCTTGTTAGGAAAAAGTGTCCCAGCTGCAAGACTGGAGCAGCATGTGGGGGCGGGGCCTGAGTAGTCCCGGAAGTACCCTGCTGGGATGCTTGATTTGGGTGAGCCAGAGAAAAAGACTTAGCCTGTGATACTGAGAGGAGCAGTCTCTGCAGGCCACTGCCTGTCCTGATAGGTATTGGCAAAAGTGGGGCCTTGGCCCCATTTCTTGGGTCCGACTTTCTCTGGGAATACCAGAAGTCTCACCATGCCTACCTGGCGTCCTCCAGCAGTGTCCTCACGTCTGTCACGAGAAGTGGAGACTAGATCAGGCTCACTCTGTCTCTGTGCACATGCGTGTGTGGAGGCCAGAGGTTGACAGCAAATATCTTCTGCAATGGCTCTCTACTCATTATTTTTCTTTTTTGGTTTTAAATTTACTTATTTATTTGATTTTGGTTTTTCGAGACAGGGTTTCACTGTGTTGCTTTGGAACCTGTCCTAGAACTCTCTCTGTAGACCAGTCTGGTTCCAAACTCAACAGAGAGCCACCTGCCTCTGTCTCCAGAGTGCTGGGATTAAACAAAAGTGTGCGCCATCACCTCCGGGCTTTAATTTCTTTTATGTGCATTGGTGTTTTGCCTGCATGTATGTCTGTGTGAGGCTGTCGGATCCCTTGGAACTGGAGTTACAGACGGTTGTGAGCTGCCATGTGGGTGCTGGGAATTGAAGCTAGGTCCTCTGGAAGAGCAGCCACTGAGCCATCTGTCCAGCTCTTCTCCCTCCCAGATGGTACATAGCGGTCACTGTGCATGGCTGTAGGCAAAGACAGTGTGCTTGAGACCTTATAACCCCTGATACAAACCTGAAATGCTGAAAACAGGCTGGTGACTAACCCACACTCAGTGACACAGCCCAGGCACAGTCGGACAAGGAGGGAGCCACTTGGGGTCTGAAGAGGCTTTGTAGGACCGGAGGACCACAGTGATATGTTCAGTGCCTAGGAAAGAGAGACAGGGATGAGAACATTCCTAGGCTGGGATGGAGGTCAAGCGTGTGTGTGTGTGTGTGTGTGTGTGTGTGTGTGTGTGTGTGTATACAAACCTTTCCAAGGACTTAGCCACACCCTCACTTTTGAACTCTCTTATGTGTTGTCTTTGTCACTCAGGGTCCCTGAAGATGCAGCAGTGTCCCCTAGGATGGGGTCCAAAAGTTTTACTGTTTCTGCCGTGAACTTGTGGAGATGGGGTAGACGATGGCTGAGCATCCCTGTACCAAAGAGAGATGAGGTTGTCACTAAGCATGGCTTCCTGGAAACAGGAAGTGTCCCCCTGCCAAAGGAGGGCTGATGTGTTTGCCTCAGCAGATTCTTCCTGGCACCTCAGTGTTTCCATCTGACTCAGCATTTATCTTGTGGGGCTCCACTCATTCTTAGGGAGCAGGGAGAGTGGCCCATTGTTAAGGCTCTAAGAGTTACACTGACTTGACACCAGTGTGGACCCAGAACCCGTGACCTCATGCAGTCCCCTCAGGGTCCCGATGCACAGAAGGTGACTTTAAATGCTGTTGTATGTGGGCCATATGCAGAAGTTTTGATTAAGGGTATTTGGAAAAATCGGTTATGCAACAGAGCAAGGTCCTTTGCAGCGGGAATTGGCAGAATCTTAAACCATGCAGTTATTACCAAAGGGCAACCCTGTGACTCTGGAAAATCTTCCTTCCTGTTTGTTGGTTTGGTTTTGGTTTTTTGAGACAGAGTTTTTCTGTAGCTTTGGAGACTTAGTATTTTATTTTATTTTCCTCTTTTACAGTCTTTCCTGAGAGTGTTATCAAGAACATTCTTTGAGATGTTCTGTTTCGTCTTTCCTTAGAGCTCTCTCTTGTTGCCTCTTAACACCATAATCCCTTTCTCTCAAGGGATTTGTTTGTTTGTTTATTTGTTTTTGAGTTTGAGTCTCACACATCCCAGGCTACCCTTGAACTCTAGGTAGTCAAGAAGGATGAGCTTGCGAGCCTCCTGTTTCTATCTCCTGAGCACGGACATTACGCCAACATTGCAGGTGTGCACCTGGCCCTGGTGTCTACTCTACGCCCTGGGCTAGCACTCACAGATTGAGCCACATCCCTAGCCCTCCAGGGGCTTTTCAGAATTGTGGCTTTCTGTTTTCAGGAAGTGGGTCCTTTCTCTGGATTGGTTAGTTTG